AAAAAAAAAAAAAAAAAAAAAAAAAAAGAGAGAGAAGGAGAATAAAAGAAAGTGAAAGGATATAATTCTTATCTCTCCCTGCCATTTCTAGTCCTCTCAATATAAATATAACATAAAAGACAAAGATAATATGACTAAAGCGTTTTGGATAACCTTTGCAGTGTTCTCGCCATGCCACAGCCCTATGGTGGTATTTATAATTTTTTTATGTGTTTTATCAATTTTTAGGTATTGAATTTCTAGAAAAGAATATGCAGCGGTGTTTAGTTTGACTTGTTTTATAAGATTATAAGTTTTTTTCTTTTATTTTTTTATGAAATTTCGCAGGCACATATTTTATTTCATTAAAACAGGGAGTTTACAATGCGTCCAGATTAAGGCATTTCCCTTGTTACAAAATGTGCAAGAGAAGATGGCTCATGATCGAGTTCATAGCTGTCACTAATCTTGCACAATCAGATTCCATAATCATCTTTTCAAAGGAGAGTTCACAAGCCCATTGCAAAGCTTTGCGCAAACAGCATGCCTCTGAAATCTTCTTGCACATGGGCCCCTAACCTTGGCAAGCCATGGTTGCCACCACTTCCCCTAAGCTCTTCCTTGCAATGGCTCCCATGCCATAAGCTCGTTGATGAGTTGAAATTGCCCCATCGATATTTATCTTCACATGATCTCCACTTGGAGGAGTCCATCTCGTTTCCATCCTTTGGGATGCCGAAGGTCTTCTACTCTGTAAGGCCATTGCTCGGTGATACCTATCTATGAATCTTAAGCTCTATTCAATAATAATTAGGGGTTGGGGATCTTATCATTCCACATAGCATCATTCTTGGAGCTCCAGATTTTCCAACAGAGCACACAGAAGAGTTCAAGCTATTCCTTTTGCAAAAGATCCATCATACAGTCAAGGAAAGAAGCTGTAATTGCACCAAACCAGAAGCCCTTGTTCAGTCCGCGTCTGCACTCCGGATTGACCTGCAAAGCCCTGAGGTGGAACTCAGGGTAGACACTTCAATGCTTAAGTCAATAATAATCGGGGTTACCTTTAGAGCAGAGATAATAGGAGCTTAGGGTTGGTTTTAATTACCTTTTTGATGTGGCCCCTAGGGGGTATTTATAGGCTTCAGTGAGGAACCCACGTGGCATGCCAAGCAAGATAGTCGGAGCCTGACGTGTATCCAAATGGTTATTTCGGGACCGAGAATTTGAGAGATATTCAAATGCAAGGATGCCTATCATAGCTACTGTGCATCTCATTATAAAGAATCAGGTGCGGGCATGCTTACTGTTGTTGTCAATGTAGTTATTTGAGCAGGAATCTTTGGATTTATCCTTCACTTCAGTCATAAAGGAATTACTGTCATACGTCCGAGGTTGGGCACCTCGAACTTGCCCTTACAGTAGCAAAATTATCCCCATTAAACATTGAGATTTGGAGATTAAGCAAGCAACCCATCCAAATTGCACGGCTAGTTGTATAAGCCACTAGACAATGAAAGACAGATTCCTGGTCCATACCACACATAGGACAACCAAGATCAACCTCAACCTGGTGGCATTTAAGATTATGCTTTGTGGGGAGAATGTTCTTCTAAGCTTGCCAAATCATCAGGTGAACCTTTTCAGGGATATCAAGAGTCCATAAAGGATCACCCCTGAAGCTTGAGGAGGATGCAGACAGGCCTTTGTGAGACCCACCCATGGCCATTGCATGGTGATAACCAGAGCAAACAGAGTAAGTGCCTTGTGATGTAAAATTTAGTATTCAACCATCATCGTGTCGCACCCAACTTAGAGGCATGGATAAGATAAGTTGGGCCTCATGAGGATTAAAAATTTCTTGAATTAAACCATGCTTTGAGGTGTGAGAATCATCATCAATAAGGTCACATAGCAAAGCCCGCAACCAGCTGGACGGGGTGATTAAACATAGAATTGGGTGTGACCAGGAAGCCAAGGATCATTCCATATATTTGTAGAAGGCCCATTGCCAATCAACCTCCTACACCCCTATTTTAAGAGAGTAGTAGTAGAAAAGATACTTTGCCACATAAAACTACAAGAAGGCTTCAACTCTACATGCAAAAAATCTGATTGTGGAAAATATTTAGCCTTCAACAATCAGGTAGCCAGTGATTTTGGATTGACGAGTAAGCGCCAACCTTGCTTATCGAGCATAGCTAAATTAAATTCATGGAGGGCTCGGAAACCTAATCCTCCCGTCTTCTTTGAAATTGCAAGCTTTCTTCACTCCATCTAGTGGATCCTATGATCACCTTCACCCTCACCCCACCAGTATCTATTCATAACTCTCTCCAAATGGGCACAAAGACTCAAAGGAAGAAGAAACATTCCTATGAGGTACATGGGAAAGCTTGCAAGATTGACTTAATGATAACCTCTTTGCCAACCTTAGAGAGGGGTTGCTCTCATTACTCACCTACACAGGCCCAAAACTTACTCTTCAAATTAGAAAAAGCCGTTGATTTTGTTTTGCTAACATAAGCTAAGAAACCAAGATATTTACTTGGATTGCTCAACTCCTTCATATTAAGAAGTCGCGTAACATGGTCCCATGAGGCAGATTGCACATTATTGCTAAAAGTAACAGAGGATTTTTGTAAATTCACCATCTCAGCCTCAAACTTACAAAGAATTTCCCTTAAGTGTTTTGCCTCAAACTCAGTAGGCCACAAGAAAAGAAAGCTATCATCAGCAAACAAAAGGTGAGAGATTTACGTGACATGTGTACATATCTTGATACTGTGCATCATCTTTCTTCTCTTTGCATCCTTTATCATTATTGTAAGGCCTTCTGCACATAAGATAAACAAATAAGGTGATAAGGGATCACCTTGCCACAGCCCTCGAGATGGGGTTATTTGTCCAATATCCACACCATTGAGTAGGGGTGTTCATATCCGATCTAATCTGATTGATTCGACCTAAATTGATCTGATCAAATCAAAAACCAATCCAAACCGATATAAAATTAGGTTGGTTCGAATCCTAAAATTTTAAAACTGATATAATTGGTTTGGTTCGTGATTTTACCTTCAAATTGCCCGAACTGCCCGATTACAAAATAAAATCCAATTAGAAGATAATTTAATTAAATAATATAACATATTTTTTGTAGTATTTTAAATTTTTTTTCTTATTTTACAAGATTATAACTCCATTAACTTAATTAAAAAAATAAAAATAGAACATCTCCATATTTCTTAAGTTATTTTTCCATTTTAATTATGCACTCTAACCTTAATTCTAAATTTTTAATTCATCTGTAACTCTATCATCTTAGAATTGATTTGCATCTTTACTCTTAAAACCCTAAATTTCTAATTTATTCTTAAAATAATCTTATGATTTTCCTAACTAAATTTTAAATAAGTATTATTCTAAAAGCCTTAAACTATATAATAAAATTAGTCTTAATATTCAACTATTCTTAAATATTTGGTTTAGAAGTTTTAAATTTTGATTTTGAATGCTTCTAATTAATTTTAGTAATATTCATTTAAATGTTATTCACTTTTAACAGGATTTAGAAAATAGGATTAAATTATTAGTGTATTAAGAAAAAAAAATTAATTTTAACCTTCAAGAATTATTTATGTTATGCTAGAAATTAGGTTAAATCCCCATTTTGGTCCCTGAACTATTGTACGGACGCCCGATTTGGTCCCTGAACTAAAGAAATCCTTGATTTAGTCCTTAAACTATTGTACGAACCCCCAATTTGGTCCCCACTGTTTATAATTTGACCTAATTTGGTCCTTGAACTATTGTACGGACCCCCAATTTGGTCCTTACTGTTTACAATTTCACCCCAATTTAGTCCCTAAGCTATTATTTAACAGAAGGACCAAGTTGGGGTTAAATTGGTAAACAGTAGGGACCAAATTGGGCATCTGTACAATAGTTTAGGGACTAACTTGGGAGTCCGTACAATAGTTTAGGGACCAACTTAGGGATCCGTACAATAGTTTGAGGACCAAATTAGGGATTTCTTTAGTTCAGGGACCAAATCGGGGGTCCGTACAATAGTTCAGGGACCAAAATAGGGGTTTAACCTATTTTTTATTATTTTTGGTGCCTCTAGTGATGTAACCAAGAAGAATTTTCAGAACTTTTCAATTTTTACAAATGTAAAGGAGTATAAGAATTCGTTTATAATTTTTGCCTTTTATTATATTTTTTACTGATTTGGATGTTAATGTATTTTATAGTTATACTTTCTATTTGATATTAAAATATTTTTACATTATCTTATATATTTAATAATGTTAAAAATCGATCAATCTGACCGAACCACTACAATTCAATTTAAATTGGATTGATTTAAAAATTCTATTAACCGATTAAATTGGATTGGTTTAAAAAATAGTAAAATCCGAACCAAACCACATTACGAACACCCTTACCATTGAGTAATAAGTTGTACCATACTGAGGTCATGCAACCCAGTATCAGGCTAATCCATCACTCCACAAAGCCTAGGACTTTCATAACTGCCAAGAGATATGGTCATTCCACTCTATCAAAGGCTTTGCTCATGTCCAGTTTAATAGCCTGCCATCCTTTTTTTCTTAGCTTCTTGGAACGCATAAAATGAAGAACCTTATAAGCAATTAAAAAATTATTAATAATGAGTCTATTTGGAAGAAAAGCACTCTGCTCCTATGAGATAACTCTTGGCAACACATGCTTGAATTTGTTTGCCAATACTTTTGCAAGAACTCTATTGACAACATTACAAAGGCTTATAGGTCTAAGGTCACACATTGCTTTTGGCTCATTACACTTGGAATTAGCATAATATTAGTGAGATTGAGCTCATCAAGAAAGGGAATTCCCTTGTTGAGATACTGCAAACATGGCTAAACGATGTCATCCCTCATTAGGCTCCAAAAACGTTGAAAGAAAATTAGGGAAAAACGATCCAAGCAAGGTGCCTTAGATGAGTGCATTTGAAATAGACCCTTTGTAATCTACGCCGGAGTGAACTCATGCAATAGAAATGAATTGCCTTTGTCCTGCACACAAGGCTTTAAACAATCCATCACCAAAGCTGTGTTCATAGGGTTTGTAGATATGAAGAGGTGAGCGAAATACTTTGTGACAACTGCTTTAATCTCAACAAAACTGGATGTCCATTCTCCATTGTCTTTCATTAATTTCTCCACCCTGTTATGATCCTTGCGCTTAGTGGCTCCTCTATGGAAGAAACTAGTATTCCTATCCCCATTCTGAATCTAGATCTCATGAGAGCCTTGCCTCCACATTATCTCTTCCCTTTCCAGCCATTCCTCAATTTCACTAAGCACACAACATTATTCTTTCTCAACTAGAATAAGATCTTGATTGTGACTTAACCTATTAAACTCCTTTATGCACTACTTTAAGTGTTTTTGGACATGCCCAAACTGGATACAATCCCGCTTTGTTAAGTCATTAGAGCATATTCTCATCTTTGGCGAAAGACAAACACAATCACCTACCACCTCAATGGAGTTCCAATAGTTTTTTTGAACCACCTCTTGGCATCTATTATCACACAGTTACATCTCCTCAAACTATGAAACCTTTTATGATGCCTACTTTTCCTATCCCGTCGTCCATCAATAGTGATCCACAAAGGCCTATAATTTGAGGATAGAGGGGGAAGTAACCAAACCATAGCTTGAGGGAAAATGTCATTCCAGTAAGTATTTGCCAACCCCCTATCCAATTTCTCAAAGATCCCTCCTCATTGCCAAGTGAAAAAGCCCCCTACCATCTATACTTTCATTAAACTGCAAGCTTCAATAGCATCATTAAACCCCACAATGAGCCATTTCAGTTGTGCATCTCCACCCACTTTTCATCTTGGCATAGAATATCATTAAAATCTCAACAAATTAACTAGGGCAAATGAGAACAACTAGCTAGGTCGTGTAGTAAAGCCCATGACCTTCTCCTATGATTTCTATCAAGACAACCATAATAACCAATAAGTCTCCATTTGCATCCCCCTACACCTTCAACCTCCATATCAATATGGTTGATAGAGTATGATAACAAGGATAACCCTCAGAATTCCATAGCATTGTCAAGCCTCCACTATGCCCAATCTTTTCTACCATAGAGCAATTATGAAACGTTAACCTCAAACGAATGTTATCCATACCTCTTCTATCCAATAATGTTTTGCACAAGAACATTACTACAAGCTTCTTCAACCCCACCAATTCGATGAGGCTCCAAACTACTCGAGGGTTCCCAAGTCTCTAACAGTTCCAACAAAATATACTCATGGTGACCGATAGGCTTACAAAGTAGTACTCGTCGATAAAATAACTAGATTACCATCATCACCCTCTCCTTTACTGTGCTTCTCATAGCCCATTGGCTAAAGTTTACCTTCTGACACTTTATCATCTTTCCTCTTCACCGTCTAGACCACTAATTTAGAATGAGATTGAACAGATTTACACTCGCGTGCCTCCTTTTTCCAAGCTCTTATTTTTGGGCCTACAGTACATGGGCTTGACTAGAAGAAGAAAAGAGAACCACCTTCCACACTATTGCTACTCAAGTTAGAAACATGTGGGGATTAGACCTATAATGGGCCTACTTCCACTGAACCCCACACATCTATGGAATTAGAATCCCCTGCACCATCTTTCCCATTGCTATAATCCTAGACCTTTAAAATAGCATCCTATATAACAGAACCTTCTTGTCACTTTATTTTGTAAAAGGGAACAATCTCATCTGAATTTATTGGTGAAACTAGACCTTCACACCGCCAATCATGTCAATTAGAATCAGCCTCCAAACCTCTTACTTCTATATTTGATGTACTTTCTAATTTGAGAACAGAGCATCGCCACCTTGCCTCTATCGCCACATGGTTCCCAGAGGAATCCCTTAGCCACTGTGCACCCTTTGTTTCACTCATCTGCAGTAGGTGTTTTGGTACGACTTGTAATTTTTTGACGTAAGGTCACTCAGCTATTTCGATCCTTTTCTATCTCCAACCCCAACTCACAATCTATCTTGATATGATCTAATATACCACTATAAAAACAAAAGTTAGGTAATTGCTGATATTGAAAATCTACCCAGATTGGTCTTTCCCTTAGTGTGAGCTTCATGCCACGCCTTAGCGGCTTCCTAGTGTCAATAAAGACTCTAACTCGGATATACTCCATACCCCAAGCATTGTTGTGTCCATTGTCCACCTCAACAAGCTGTCCTAATGCTTCCCCTACTCACCTCCCAGTTATTGCTGTTATCCAATTTGGAGGTAACACATGCATCTAAATCTAAAAGGGGACTTCATACAGCTCCTCCCTTGTTACTTGTTGCCTTTCGTTTGCCTCCTTTAATACCAAGACATGGTTAGCAAAACGCCATGGCCTTACCACCAACACCCGTTGTATATCAACCAAGAGGAAGAAGTAGATGCAAAAAGGTTATGTTCTAACACTCACATGTGGATGCCTTTAACTGAGCTCCATGCACCCACGAGCGTATTCTCCATAGCTTCCATGTCTTACCGTTTGTTTATCAGCACTGTACCTACAAGGCATCCCCTCAAACTACCCCTCATACCATCACACCATTACCATCATTAAGGTTCAGCGCTACATCCTTATTTGTAGTGAAGGATAATCATTCACCCAACACCATCGTGAGATCATTGACACTCAAATCTACCATAGTTATGGGATCTGAAAAATAACTCCCAAACCTAGGAGAAAAAAACCCTCAATAATTTTTTTTTCTTTTGAACAGCTAATTAAAGGATTTAAATGAAAATGTTCTTATGGCTTAGTGGCCACTTCTCCCTTTTAAAGAACTTCTCACACTAAGTTTGCCAAGTGTAGGGTTCAAATCCCATTCTCACATTCAAAAAAAAGAAAAAAAAAGAAGGGCTTTTAAATTATTAATTTTAAATTAATAAATTATTTTATCAAATATTAATTACTTTTATGCACAAACTATTAGCCAAACCAAATCGGGCCACGTGGTTATAATGATTTTCAATATTAAAATTTTAAGACAAATCCCGAAACACTTAGTAGTTTCACAGTTCAACTTGAGCTAACTATAAATTTTATAGTTATTAATAAAAAGATACCATTTTAATATTCAAGGCTTATCTTTCATTAATAGTTTTTAAAATTCTGATTTTATTGTTCATTTAATAATTTTAATAATTTTTTTATGCTCACTTTGTTTTTAAATAGTTGAAGTTTTTTAAATTAAAATATATTTTAAATTAACTATTATTTTTTTTAATAATTTTTAATAAAAACAAATATCTTTTCTCTCTATTTTAATTCTATAATTATTGACTAACTGTAATTGTCTTTAAAGCCTGAAATCTATAAAAAAAAATTTAAGAAAATTACGATTATTTTAAAATAAAATGAGTAATTTTTGTCCTAATACATTTTTTCTCAGCACCATTACCCAAAACACAAATAATAAATCGATACTTTTAACGGCCAAAAAATAAACATCCATACCTTTAAATAATCGATTAGGCTGGGACACATTGGCACAATACGTAGTTTTGGAGAAAGATGTTATCACGCATATTCTTTGAAGAATATCAAGGTAATAGGAAAAAAATATATCTTGAATTTTTTTTTTTTGATCTTATTTGCATAATGGGAAACTACCATCTCTCATCTTTTATTCCACCCCACTTACGTGTCATACAACTTGAAATTATGATACGGAAGAAGATGACCACTGAACTATTTAGGTTATTGACATATATTTTGAATTTTAATTTCGAAATAAAAAGCAATTTAAAACTTTTAGGGGTGGTCATGGTTGCTTATAATTTTATTAAAATTACTCAGTTTTATTTAATTTAATAGTTAAAAATAATAAATAATTAATACAATAATTGATATTTATAGTTTAATAAATTAATTAATTTAAAAATTGATATTTTTAGATATTATAATTAATTATTTATAAAAAATATAAATAAATAAAATATTATTTATATTAAAAAATATTATACAATTTAAATTATACTAGATTGCTTAACCATAACTATTGGATGAGGGTGACCCCCGAATATTGAAAACATTTTCCCATTCAATGATCTATTTTTATATTTAAATTGTAAAATAAGAGACATTTAAATTAGATGACTTTTAAGTAAGTTTAACAAAATATACTTATAATTAAAAGAGTTGGATCTATTAATAAATAAATATCATTTTGTAAGTTAAATATAAAATTTAGGTTTAGAAGTCAGCATCTAAAAAAGGTTAATTTTTTTAAATATATTAAATTGATGTAATGATATACCCTAAATTTTTTTTGGTATAATATACTCTTAAAATAATTTAAAGAGATATCATCTCCAACTATGTAAAAATTCATTCAGAATGCGTTGAATGGAAATAAATAAAAAATAAAACAAATATACCCACTGCGACACCCGACTTTTAGGTACTTAATTTTGGTCCCAACCAACCCATCTCACCCAAATAAAGATGTTATTTTATTGGCATGAATCCATGGTTAGTGTTGAATTGGATGGCCCAACCACTAATATTTCATTGTCCACAAAAAAACCCATTTTTTATAATTTTTTAAAAGTATTTCTATTAAATATTTTTTAAAATCTTAAATTACAAATATTCGTTTTTTTGGGATAAGAAAACTTTCATTACGTGAGTTTTTTAATCTAAAATCTTATGGTGGATGATGTATTTCATGAAGTTAAATTGCTATTTATGCAATTAAAAAATTAATTTATTATAATTAAACTATTTTTAATTAGTTTATAGTAGTAGGTTAGATAGAAAAATAGTAAAAAAACATTTTTATATTTGTGAGAAAAAAAAAAATTCCAATCACCACTGATGGGTGGTGGGTGACACAACCATCTTAACCTCACCAACCCCCACATCGTCTCAAAATCCCAACAATGTCCTTACCTACCAAATCTACTCTATCCATGCTTATTTCTTGTTCAAATCCCACAAAGACTGTGGTAGGCACAAGATCATTGGGGCTTGGCCTGGGTTCTGGTTCAGCAGCAAATCTCTGCTCATTTCTCAAAGAAGCAAGAGATGGGTGGAAAGGGAAAAATCTATACATTAGCTGAGGCCTCTCAGCACAACACCTCCAAAGACTGCTGGCTTGTAATTCATGGCAAGGTATTCTGCTAATCCAGTTTCTTATGCAATTCAATTTGGGGTAGAACCTTAGTGGGTTGTGTTTTTGATTTATGTTGTCATCTCCTGTTTCATTTGTGAAAAGTTTGAGTTTTTATGGTTGGCTTGCCTGTAGGAAAATTACTACCCGATTGGATCTGGGGGAAGGCTATTTTTGTGAATTTATTTGAATATTGGGGATCATAATGTTATTTTACTGATGTTAGAAGAATTGAATGATTGACTGAATGACCGATGCATTTTTGTGGTTTGGTAAAAATTTCTATTCTCTTGATGGGTCTTCCTCCATTTTGATTGTGATAAAAGGAATTTTGTTTTAAAGGGTTAATCATCCAAAATAGTGTATATCCATTTGATATCAAAAACATGATTAACCTAGCGTTTATATAATCCTGAACATTTTCTTAGCAGCATCCAGAAAACTAAGCATAGCTGTGGTTCCTTGGATCCGTGTTGACATTTAGTTCATTAGGACTCGTGGTTTTGACTGCTCATCCCTTATATGAAGGATTCCCTTATTTAAATTTCGTTCATTTCTAAGTACACATTTTATTCGTGAATGCGCATTGAAGGCATTTATTCACTGTATTTCTTGTTTCATAAGGATCATTATTGTTTTGCCATTGGAATGTAGGGATGTTGTGCCACTGTTGATTTTTTTTTTTTTTTTCATTTTTCCATCTCTATCTATGGATCTGCATAAATGCAGTTTATATGGAGTTTATCTTTTATTTATTGTATCTTCACTAGTTATAATATTTATTTATATTTTTGAATTTGGTTAAAGGATTAGTGGAAAAGAATGATCTCTTTCTTAGAGAGGATACTATTGTTTAATTTATTGAAGCTATGATTCTATTATATATAGGAAACCACTGTGTCGAGTGTGAGATCTGTAGCGGTGGACTGTTTCTTTCCTAAGATGGTTATGAACTGAATATTAAGGTTGCCTAAGACACAAAACCAACCTACTACCGACCACTTGAGTAGATACAACATAGACAGGAAACAAGTAATACATACTTCTAAGGCCACTGGACTCTTAGTCTTAACAGAAATGACTTTCTTTGCATTTTTGTAGGTTCAGAGATCAGCATGTATATCACCTATGAATTGTTTAATAAAGGATGGCTTTGATCTCATAATGGATATACTTCATCATTCCAGAATGAAAATAAAGCATTAGTAGCAATTTCTCATCATTAGGTTCAATTTTCATCCACAATATTATTTTTTACCACACAGCACTAACCTGCAATAGCATATTTTAATAAGGTCTAGGTCCTTGACCAAGACTTAAATTATGGTTTGAGCTTTCTTGTAACCTATAGCAAGACATTACATTTGGACATCAATCTTGCATCAAATTTGAAACAGATTAGTGCCAGTGCAAACTCTATTAGTTTTGGTTCTGGATTGAGATATATGCTTTTTTTTGTCTAGACATGGTTTTTTACCAAATCTATATGCTGGAACAGGTATACAATGTTACTAAATTCTTGGAAGACCATCCTGGTGGTGATGAGGTCTTGTTATCATCTACAGGTATGACAAAAACTTAGAGCATCCGGCTTACTTTGGGTAACCTCTGCAGAAACAAAACTAGTAATTAAGGCTATTTTGATTTCTGTTCTGCAGGAAAGGATGCAACTGATGATTTTGAGGATGTTGGTCACAGTAGCACTGCGAAAGCAATGATGGACGAGTTTTTTGTAGGTGAGATCGATTCATCAACTGTTCCCACCGAGACCAAGTACACACCTCCTAAGCAACCTCACTACGAACAAGACAAGACATCTGAGTTTGTTATCAAGCTCCTCCAATTCCTAGTTCCCTTGCTAATCTTGGGTTTGGCTGTTGGCATTCACTTCTACACAAAATCAGCTTAAGTATCAATACCGTGAGAAATTTCAAGAAGGCATTCACAATAAGATAGTATTAGTTCTCAGCGTACCCCATTTACTTAAAATTGTAACCGTTCCCATTGCTTTTGTTAATGCCAGATTGTTTTCCTGTCTCCTGGATGTGCATTGATAAAATAATTACTTTCCGTTTTTCCTGGGTATGGATCCTCTTTTTTCACTCTTTTTTTGGCCGGCCATTGAGTATGGTTCTGGAAGATTTAAAATTGTGTAATTCTGACATCTACTGCATTAGCCAGGCCATTTCCTATTTTAACCATTCCTCAAACATCCAGGGAACATATTAGGGCTTTCAAGATTTCAGCTAGTTGATTAAAAAATTGTTTTCCAAGGCAGTCTTTTGAATATGTTTCTTGTAAAGGGATGGAACTATGTCTAGGCATTTTCTTGACCATTTCAGGTGAAATTAAAGCTTTGATATTAGAAGATTCTTCTAGTCTTTGGAATCCATTTAAGGAATATTTTTAATCAAGAATTGAAAAATAATTTAGAGATTTTTTTTAAAAATAATTTTTTCATATAACCTTATGTGTCATTTAATAATTAACTTTATTTACTCAATTAAAACCTATGATATTTTATACATCTATTTATTTAATGATATAAAAAGATTGTATAAAAAGATTGTATAAAAAAGTTGTCTCCCTAGAATTACCCATCAAGAATTAGTGTCATGCTTTTCATGAAGCACATTGTCCTTGATCAACACATTAGATATGGCTAATTATTTTTTAATATCTCAATTACAACTAATACTTTGCTGGAACTTGGGCATAGTGCTTCACTAATCTCTTATTAATCAATGATATCATCAATAAGAAATATACATTTGACTCCAATAAATGTTGATTTGTTTAAACCATTTTTTTACAATAGTTAGCAGTAAGTCTCCTTCTAAACTTTTTCATATCGTTTTACTTAAAAATTGAACAGAAACCTTCAAATTAAAAACTTAAATTTTTATCAATTGAGACACTCTTAAATCTAGCTTAAATAATTTAAGTATTCTAATTAAGTGCAACCCCTATGTCTACGAATTTAAATAGTTAAAATTGTGATTGGACCAAAAAGCTCTCAAAACAGTCTATTTTTTTTAATCTCTTGTCAAGGCCTCGTTGATGAACCAAAACCTAGACTCTGGGAGCATTTTTCTTGTGGAAGGGGGATTAAACTCAACTCATGGAATTTGGGAAATGGTGCAGCAACCAACAGTACGAAGAATCTGGATGAAAATCTAGGTATATTATACTTGACCATGAGAAAGCAAGGGCACAAAAATTCTTCAGCCATTTTTGGCTCCATTCTGAAATGAACTAGTTATTATACATATCTGCCTTGCAGCCAAAGCCAATGAATAGTACAAAACCAGACGGCCAAAAAACAAAGAATAGTGATGAGCTAATTCCTCTCTAGTAAGTGTACTAGTTAGTTCAAGTAATATAATGATGAAATAGAGTATCGTCCCACAGAGACAGTAGACTAAGTACCAAAATTAACTAATTATAATTTTATTTGAACAATTGAAATTAAGTGGATAGAATAAACTAAACAACTAAACTAATTAAAGAAAAACTAAATTGAGTTTAAGTAACACCAAGAGTTAAAATTTTAAGGCATCCAATTTCACCATAATCAACTAATATAGAATTTAGATTAACATATTTTAAAGGTATTTATTATTTATGTGACAACGGAATTTTTTATCCTATTTGATATACTTTTTCAAGTTATACCAAATCTATCTTCATCTATTAACCCACTATATTTCTATGTGAATTTAAATAGATAAAGATACATTATAACTGTGAAATTCCCTAATTTACGTAGAAAATTAATTTCATTCATTACTAATGCTGCATGTTAATACTAAAAAATAGAATAGATGGTGTGGAACCAAGATCTTTATTGATAGAGAAAGTTTACAATGAACAAAGAATGCTGAAGGAAAAATAGTCTGTCTCCTTAGGTTGATTTTTGAGGTATTTATAGGATATTTACATAAAGTTATCCTAGGAGTATAACTTTATTTGATTGGTGTTTGGGTATTCTGATTCTAGTAGGATTTCACCTATCTAATCTTGATAGGACTATTTTTAAGATGTGTCACGCCCCAAAACCCAAATCCGAGGACGTGGCAGATGCCGTACACTTGTGAGAGGGTTTCACAAATGCACAAGGCTCGGAACTTTATCATACCACAATCTAATACTACAAAATCTGAAGATAAAATTATAAAATTCGCCCTAATATCATAAATCCCCAAATAAAGTCTAGCTTACAAGATCATGATTTATATCTAAAATCTATGTTCAATTTACAAGATGGCTAGCTTCTAACTCGTCACTCCCCTCGTTTTTCCCCGTTCTTGACTTCGCTTCCTAAAATGATGGACAAGGAAAAACTATGAGATAAGTCAGTAAGTAAATATGGATAGCCTTTAATTAAACTTATAGCATGTCAACAAGTATAATCACGAAAAACAGGTATGAGTACGAGAATGAAATAGACGTCTCCTCTATAGGTCATGGCCAGTGTTATAAACCTCCCATTGGCAGGCACAGGATTTCCTAGTGTATAATCCCACTAGCAGGATAACAGTATAACAAAAACGAACCGATTCTATTAGTAACATGTCGACATGTGCTAGCATTTATAAACCTCCCACTAGCGGGCACATCAATAACATGACCATATCGGAGACAAAGCAGGCAGAAGTTAACAGGAAAATCATAATTCACAAATAATTTCCAAATCATCAGGGCAGTTAAGTAAACTCCAAGAAGGCATGCTCAAATCAATAAAGGGAATAATAATTTCATTTCAAATCGATCATACTTGTGTAAAACAGGTTTAGTCTCGCCACCACTTAAAAAACAAGCTAAAATGTGCTTTAAAATCGGAGGGCGTTATCATAGTTTACTTACCTCACTCGCATAAAACTGAAGACTCAATCCACGTACTAAAGTGCCCCAAGGATCAAGAACCTAACCAAAATATCCAAGAATTAATTCTATAAGCAATTTCATTTATTTATTTATTTTCATTGACCGGATTGTGTATATATATATATGTACACAAACACCTATACATAATTTTCTCAATCCCACGGACAAAATGGAAAAACCCAGCCTTTATTCCAATTATTGATTTAATTATACACAACACATATATACAAAATTTTCCAAATTCACAGACAGAAAAGGGAGAACTCGAACTTTGGCAAAACAATAGCAAATCACGGGGTTTTCTCCAAAAATCACAGCATCCAAAATAAGCTAATTTTCTACATTAAGCAAGCTTAAAAACCCATGTTTTAAGGCTGCTGAAACTCCTCCATTTCAACAGAAAATTTCCAACGAACAAAATGGAGGAACCGAGCTTGGAAAAATAGCACTAAGACCCGGCTATGCATACAGATCATCACAGTAGTCCAATCACAGAAAATTCTACATGATTTAACTTAAAACTCATTTCAAGGCTGCCGGAATTCATCCCCTACTTCCAGCAGGTTTTTTGGACAACACAGGGCACCCATACAACCAATTAAACTCAACAAGGTAGCAATTAATGGGTAATTTTGAACTTAAAGAAGTGGCCGTTATACCAAAATTTTTTTCCAGCAGCCAAGGAACCAGTTCCGGCAGTGAAGAAGCTAACGGTAATTGAAAGGGAAGCTAGGGAAATTACCAGAAATTGAAAGAATTACAAGAAATTAGAGTAAACCCAAGGCAAATCAAAGCTAAAAAGATAAAATTCATGGCTGATTTTTACCAGGAAAAACCAAAATTCACACCCAGTAGCAACCGGTGGCAGAGGAGGAAGAACAGAGCAGATCTGGAAATTCTGCAAAGGGGGAAAGATTTCCAAGCTTTAAATCTTATTCTTGAACAAGAAAATAAGGGAAAATCATCAAGCTTTACCGGTTTTTCAAGGGATGGGTGCTGTCGGGCTTGGGTCTCTTTGCTCGGCTGCAGGGGAGAAAAAGAAGAGCAGAATCGCACGGATAAGGAAGAAGAAAGAAGGAAAAAAAATAGCTGATCCTTATCCAAATCTTTTTCTCTTTTAAGTCTCTCAAGTTTCAAAATTTTCACTATTAGGCTTCAAACAATATTTTTCCCAAAATAAGTCCCTAACTTAAATGATAAAATTCCTGAAAATTTGGGATATTACAAGATGTCTCCACTTGTCCTAATTCTCATAAGACTCAATTTAGGGTATAACATTTGCCCCCCAACGAAGAAGTTTGAGGGTAACGAAAACTTGTTGAGTCTCATCTTCACGTTGGTTTTGCTATTTGTAACTTGACTTCAAATTGTGCATGGCTTTTTCATATCTTTGCCTTTAAGAGGTTCCATCTTTTTATGGAAAAGATTTTGCGACCATGGCCACCTCATTCAAAACTTTAGCTAATAAAAACCCTGTGGGATAAAAAAATTAGCTTAAGGAGTATCATGGCCCCTTTTTCTGCCTTCAATTGCACTGTGTTTTCTCAAGATTTCTTTGTGTTGTAGCGATTTCCTTTTTGCCAATTCTACACATGTCAAGCCCCCATTTGTCATTTGTATCAAGGTCGACCAGCATCTCTACTTGCAGGACTTCTTTGAGATTTCTCCATTTAATATTGGTTTAAAATGTGAATTTTTGATAAGGCACTCTCAACTTTCCACCCCTTTCTTTTTTAATATTTTTTGATCTTTTCTCCTCCTTTCTTCCAAGGACTTTCTTCTTTTTCTTTATTAATTTATTTGATCTTTTCGTCTTCTTTTTCTTGCTTTCTGTTCTTTGATTTAGCCTTTTCTTCTCCTTTCCATCTTCCTGTGTTTTCTTTTGGTCTTTTTTGCCTTCTTCATCACTCCATTCGTGCCATCTTGTCGGCTGGATGACATCGCTGATTGTGGATTGCATTATGATGGTCCTCAAATAGTGCTTTCACGGTCGGCCCAAGTAAGGCTTGAAATCAAGAGTGGCACCGATTTTGCGTTTCTGGATGATGATTCCAGTGTTCTGATGTGGGTTGTGACCATGTTTTTCTATTCGAGACCAGGTCGTCATGCGTGGCTATCGCAATCCTTTCAAAACACTGCCGATCCATCGAAGCACCAAGTTGTTGCCCTTCCTTATTCATGGTGATCTCTCCATTTTCTCCGGCTTCTTACAGACTAGTTTGCTAGTTTTGGTCAAATGGTTGTTGCAAGTATGACAGTAACTGTCAATTTATGTGTCTCGATAATCAATCTCTAGTCACCGTTCAGAAACTGGCTCCTTCAACTACGAGTACTGCCCGCTCTTGCTACTGATTTTCTACAGGTATCCTTGCTTCATTTTATGTTTCTTTGTTGATGTTGAGGTTTTTCAAGACATCCCTCCTTTTTCGAATGCTTGACTTTACAGACCTTTTGTTAACATGTTCTTATGTTGTAGTGCATTGGTTGCATTTTAAGAACATCTGCTTGTTCAACAAATGTTTTGTTTCTAACTCAAGTTTTGGTCATGCTTGGTATTATGACTTTTCACCGAAACTATATCAAGATTTATGTTTTCTAGGAAGCTGTGTTGCTTTTTTATCCATACTATGAGCTTTTATAGTTTCTTATGGTGAATGTATCCTTATTCATCAATGAGGATCCGTGTTTTAATGATGGTTAGCATTTGCCATGTCCCTTGTTCGAGGCATAACTTTGTACTCCAGTCGATTTCTACTGGTTTATGTTACAAAAAGTCTCTTATATTCTGAGATTTGCATTAACCTTTGTAGCTTTGCTTACGTAGCTTTTGCTTGGGTATTTATGTACGCCTTAACTTACCTGTAGCTTTCACTTGCGTAATTCCTGGGTATTTATGTACACCCAAACTTGCTCACAACTTTCGTTTGCATAGCTTTTGCCCGGGTATTTATTTACACCCTAGCTTGCTCGCGGCTTTTGTTTGCGTAGCTTTTGCCTGGGTATTTATGTACACCTTAACTTGCTTGCAACTTTTGCTTGCATAACTTATGCCTGGGTATTTATGTACACGCAAACTTGCTCGCAGCTTTTAGTTTGCATAACTTTTGCCTGGTTATTTATGTACATTCAAACTTGCTCGTAGCTTTTAGTTTGCGTAGCTTTTGCCCGGGTATTTATGTACATGCTAACTTGCTCGCAGCTTTCGTAGCTTTTGCCTGGGTATTTATGTACATGCTAACTTGCTCGTAGCTTTTGCCTAGGTATTCATGTGCACCAAACTTGCTTGTAGCTTTCACTTGCGTAACTTTTTCCTGGATATTTATGTACACCCAAACTAGCTCGCAGCTTTTAGTTTGCTTAAGCATGTTTCTATCTTATTTGGATTTCAGAGCTTTAAGAATAGCTATACTGTTTCATGCGTTCATATTATTTTCACCATGTCTGGTGTTTAAAACTTTGGATCACTTAAAAGTGATGTTGAAGTAATATGTTGCGTAGAAGAGTGAGCAAAGATGTGTACATTCAAGATCTTATTCTTAAAGTTGTGTTCCACTTAAAAAGTGGTTTTTAGCAATGTGAAATGAATCTTTGCTTTTAAGGTGTGCAACATTTTAGGTCCTTGGAACTAAGGTTTCATTGGTATGATTGGGCTTGAAAGCTCTGTTTCCCAAGTTTTCTTTGTAGAGGTATGGACCTTCTTAGTTGGTAGTGTTACACAAGATTGATATTCCTTTGTGTTGTATGCAATTTGGTGCTCTCGCGTTGGATTTTGCTTTGTGACTTTTTGTCTCATAACTTTGGTTAGACCGGTGCACCTTGTAATTGAATTTCTATGCTTGGAGCTTTTTGGCCTATGTGGCCTTCTCCCAAAAGCTTCTCAAGAGAACGGTTAGTTTTCTTAGAAACGCAATAACTTGCATGATCAAATTGGAAAATTATTTAGAAAAGTAAATATACTTAGCTAGGATCACATCTATCTTGCCTTGTGAATGTAGAATCTGATGATGCTCTGTCTTCATCATTTGCTATGGCTGAATGTGATTATAACAAAGCTTCTTCATATATGGTTGTAGTTGTGTTCTCCACTTTTTTTAACAAAGTGCTTGCTTTTCCATCTATCTAATCATGATAATGATCTCTTGCAAGCGCATGTTTATTTATTAGGTGCATTATGACTCTAAGTCTAGAAGTCCTGCAAACATGTACTCCTTTGTTGCAGTAGATCGCTTGCGCATTATATCATCTTAAGATTTTCTCCTGCGCAGGTTCAAAGTAGAAACAAGCTATATAGATTTTGCTATCTTAATTACTTTAGAGACATGAGAAAATTGTTAGTGCTTTCAAGATCATAATTGATAAATTTATAATTATTTAAATATTGTAAAAAAAGATATGGAACTTATCTAGTAAGTTGTTAATTCATTCCTACGCAGCTTTCTATTGAATAATGTAAACGATGGTGCTTTAGGAATTCCAACAATCAACATGTGTTTTCTTCCACTAGGCTTGGTTTCCTCGTAGTTTTTTCTCTTGTGCTTCTTTACTTGTAGATCTTTCCTCTGCTTTGATATACACTTTTGCCCTTCTTAATAAATCATTAAAACTAGTAGGTTCCCATTTATTTAGAGACCTATAGAGGCTTGAATCTTTTAAGCCATCCATCAAAGCATGCATTGCTACGTTTTGATCTAGCTTTTCAATTTGCACATCTTCATTATGGAATCTTGCTATGTAGACACTTAATGATTCGTCTATTTTTTGATTGTTAGCAGATGACAATTGGTCTTCCGGGGAGTCCAAGCCTGCGTTGCTTTCTTGAAGGTTGTAGGAAATCATTTACATGGTAAAGCATCAGAAGCTCCATGAACCATTATTGCCATCCTAAAACCTTGTACGTGCTCAACTAGATCCTCTGTCGGTTGGTTTCTATTTGTGTTTCATATTGATGTAGTGCATCTATCTCTCCATATATGTTTTCATCCTTTGGTGGTGCTATTGCAGGGGTTGCTCCATGATTTTGTGGTGCACCTTTTATTCCGTTTGTTTGTGTGTTTGTGTGCATGTCTCTTTCCTCAAGTTGTATCTTGATTGTTTTCTATCTTTGATACTCTTGTTATCTGTATCTTTTTCTATTTTTCGTTTTCTTCCTTCTTTTGAATTTGATGTTTCTCACGCTTTTTTTATTGCTGCCCTTTTTTTTGCTCTAATGTATCCTTCTACCCTTTTTAATAAATCATTAAGAGTGGTGGGCTCTCGTTTGTTCAAAGACCTATAGAAACTTGAGTCTTTAAGTCCGTCCATTAAAGCATACATTGCTACACTTTGGTCCAATCTTTCTACTTGCACAGCTTTGTTGTGGAATTTTGCTATGTAAGCCCTTAGTGACTCTCTTGTCGTCTATTTGATTGTTAGAGATGATGGTTGGTCTTTCAAGGAGCTCTACTAGCAATGAAGTGATTAATAAATATATTTGCAAATTGATCAAAGGTCTAGATAGATTTTTCTGGTAATGTTGCAAACCAAGCCTGTGCAACTTTCTTAAAAGTTGATAGAAATTGCTTGCATAATAGAGCATCCGAGGCTCCATATACCATCATTGCCATTCTATATCCTTGTACGTGCTCCACTAGGTCTTGAATTCCATTGTACTTAGCTAGCTGTGGAGTTTTGAAATTTGATGGCACAAGTTCCTTGATGATTTTATCTATAAAGGCTTTTTCTACTGAAGCTGTGTGTGTTGATTCTATGTACCTCTGCTTGCCTGCTTTTATTTTTGCCAAGTGCTGCCATAATGCCTCGATTTCTTTGTAAATACCGTCATTATAAACCTACGCTTCTACTTTTTATGGATCTGCTACTATGAAGGTGGCTTCATGGACTTGCTGGCTAGCCTTCCTTTGGCTTGAATGTGTGCGAGGTATCATATTTTTGCTTCAAAAATTGTATTGAGTGAAAGCTGAGGATGGTTGCAAGCTTGTATCGATTGTCAACTCTGTCAATTTTGAAGGTATGTAACTTTCATCTTGATTGCTACTTTCTTATGCTGAACCTTGCTCTTTCTCCTTAAGCGTCCTGGCATCACTTCGTGACAAGTGCTCTCTTACTTCTTGTGATGAGGTGTTAGCAACCTTTGTCATGGATGCTATGGCTCGCTCGATTGCTTTCAAACTTTGCCTCGTCCCCTCCATGTCTTGTGTAAGTTTTTGTATTTGTGATGCTATAGTTGAGTCTAATGGTTTGGCTTTATTGATAGCATTTCTTGGATTCATGCTTGATGAAGAAGGGTTACTCATTTTGGCTTTGCTTCTGGAACCCGGGGTACTTCTTCAAGGAGGTGATGAATTTTCTAAATTTTCCATGCGGTATTCATGGATCAAAAAGAACTAGGCCCCACAGTGGGCGCCAAATGTTAACACTAAAAAATAGAATAGACGGTATGGAACCAAAATCTTTATTGATAGAGAGTTTACAATGAACAGAGAATGGTAATGGAAAAATAATGTCTCCTTAGGTTGATTCTTGAGGTATTTATAGGATATTTATATAAAGTTATTCTAGGAGTATAATTTTATTTGATTGGTGTTTGGGTATTCTAATTTCAGTGGGATTTAATCTATCTAATCTTGATAGGACATTTTTTAGGATGTCTCTACTTGTCCTAATTCTCATAGGACTCAATTTAGGATATAACATTGCACAAATCACGTTGGTTAATCTCTAGGTTTCGTTTAATTCATGATATATATTATTAGAAGTTATTGCATAAAATCTCCTCTCGGTCTCAATTATACTCTCTAAATCAGTTTTAATGGTGGCCAATCATTAAAAAGCATTAAGAACAATAATATATACTCTACATAAAATAATAAACCTTGAAGGTATAAAAATCATATAACTCTACATTAAATTAATTAGGCTACATCATAGCCTTAGATAACTAAATCAGTTTATAATTAAAAAAAAAATCAACAATCTCATGATAAATATATGAGTATCTAACATCATAAAATAAAATTCAAGGACAAACAAAACCAATTTGACAGTATAAAATTTCAAGCCTTGATCTCCTTTTGTTATTTAATTCCTCTTAACTGTCTCTCTTGGTCTCCTCTCCAAACCCCCAAAATTGATTTTTGAATGGGTATTTATAGAGTTTTAGAAACCTTATTAGAAAAGAAGTAGGACTTGAAACAGAATAGGAAACTTGAATTTTGGATGCTAAACACATGGTGTCAATACCTCAAATTATGTGTCGACATAAAACAGGAAACAGAAGTTCTAATTCACGCTTAACACATGATGTCGACACCACACCCGTGTCGGGTTTTTGGCCTCTTTTTGCAATTTCTTCAATGGTAAAATTGTAGATCTAATCCTTCAAATTTTGCATAATGAGCACTTAGATCCCAAAACTTATGATTCATTCATTTAGGTCCCAAAGACGTGCCTTTCTTCTTGCAGTTCAATCCCTCAACTTTCAGAAGATATTCAATTAATCCCAAAAACTCCTATTATTATGCATTCAAGTCTTTTCCTACATAAAGAATGAAAACCATGTAAAATTTCATAAAGTTCATCCAAAAATTAATATTATCAAGATAGAAATTTCACATTAATGTATATATAAATTCAGTTCGTTAAATTCCCCCAAACTTAAGTTTTGCTAGTCTTCGAGCAAAATAAAAAAGACCAAATAAAACCGAACTCACTTTCGTAGGAATCACGATTGCACATAGCATGTGCAACAAGCCTTTAAACCCCCTAGATCACCCTAGTGGACGAGTTGTGTCTCGTGAGGGTTTTCAACGGATCTATCCACAAAATCCCAATGCAAAAATGCAACTACATGATATGCATGCAATGAAAATTTAGGAATTTAAATTCAATTAGATACAAATTCTCAAATATTCAAGAGTTTCATATACTCTCTTAACTTCAAATACTTCATCCCATTCTTCACACCACTTATCAAAAGATTTAGCTCATGAGCACATAGTGTGTGTGTGAAAATTCATAATAAGAAGTTTTAGAATTTAGACCTTCACACTTTATCACTTATTATTATTATTATTTCTTTTTGAGTCAAGTTTCCTTAGGCTATTTAAGTTACCCATATAACCAGTTTTCTATCAATGACTCCCAAACCAGTTGGCTTTAGGGCATTTGGTGAAGAGACACTCCTAAGAACATACTTACTCAAGTAACAAAGTCCATGAAACATTTGATTTTTTTTTTTTTTTTAAGCCATACACATATTTTTCCCAAAGCTATCACCTGTCTTTTGAAGCCAATACTAACAGTTGTGATGAAAAAACCTGGTTACTTAACAAGTCATGAACTTAGGGTGCTTTGCATACTCATATTTCAAGTCACCATTTGACGTGAAAACTGACATGGGTCTTATGCCTAACCCCTAGTTACTAAGCAACTTAAAACATTGGAGTAGAAATTAACAACTCTTTTGTATTGGCTTCTTTTTTTTTTTTTTATGTGCTTTTTAGGTGCTACTAAGTCTTCCTTCTAAACTTCTCACGACAAACTTGTGCTCAATTGAAGTACAATGCTCATGATCTTAAAATTTATCACAATGGCGTTATTTTTTCAAATTTTGTATTTTTCAAATAGGGCACTCATGAAGTTCTAACTCTTGAATATTTAATTCTTTGATACTAAATGATCAAATTCTTAAAAAAAAACTAAAAACTGTTTTCTAAAGAAAAGAAAAAGAGAAAAAAAAAATGGTATACAAACAACATGAATGTGATCTAATGCAAATATGAATATCAAAATATATCTCCCTCCCCCAAACTTAAATCAAACATTGTCCTCAATGTTAAAAGAAATAAGTAAAGGAGAAAGGAAACTTCCCAGCTTTTATGCACTTTGAATATACAAAGTTGATCTTGAGGCTTGAATTTCCCCCAAATTTGTGCACTAACCTGAAACCAAATAAAATAAAATAAATCAATAATAAAAAGAAACTAAAGAAAAATAAAATGAAAAAAGAAATTTTAATGCTTGGGTTACCTCCCAAGAAGCGCTTAATTTATAGTCATTAGTTTGACTATTTCAAATCATTATCTAGGATTTAGTAGTTCAGTGGTGGTCTTGTGTTTGTTGCATCCACCATTCTCTTGGTAAAGTCGCACATTTTCATAGCTTTCATGTTGATTTGAAGGCTCTTCATTTCCCAAATTGGGTTTTCGAGGATTTTTAAATTTTGGCCTTCTTAATTTTGGGCTTAGTGGGGGTGCTTCCAAAGAATGTCCTTCCTTAATGGCCTCATCTTTGACCTTGGTTCCCTGTTGTTGTACAATAAAATTTTCATGTGGATTTTTAGGTACCTTCTCTTACAAAACCTTATCAACCCTTTTTTCACTAGTATCAGCCGCAAAACACTCCTTAACATCATTAGAAGGATATTTTATAGCTTCAAAAACATTAAATGTCACATGTTCATTCTACACTCTAAGAATTAATTTTCCTTCTTGAACATCTATTAACACTTTACTAGTTGCAAGAAAAGAACGACCTAAAATAAGGGGGACCTTGTAGTCCTCTTCCATATCCAACACTATGAGATCAACAGGAAAAATAAACTTATCTGCTTTTACTAGAACATCTTCAACTATACGCCTTGGATATTTGATAGATTGATTTGGAAGTTGAAGGGATACATTGGTTGATTTTGGCTCTCTAAGTCCTAATTTCCTTAAAACAAAAGAAGGCATCAAGTTAACACTTGCTCCCAAATCACATAAAACTTTATCAAAATGATGATTTCTAATAGTGAAAAGAATGGTGAAACTCCCTGGATCTTTTAATTTAGGAGGAAGCTTATTTTGTAAAATTGTTGAACACTCCCCGTTTAAAGTCACCGTTGCAAAATCTTCCAATTTCCTCTTATTTTTCAAGATGCTTTTCAAGAATTTTGCATAATTTGGCATTTGAGCTATTGCATCTACAAAAGGAATGTTAATGTGCAATTTCTTAAGCATATCAAAAAATTTACCAAATTCCTTATTGTATTGCTACTGCTTCAATCTTTAAGGAAAAGGAACAGGAGGCACCTATGGCTTGATTTCCTTAGGTTTGGGTGGTTCTTGAACTTCTTCCCCATTAATTTCTTTCTCTTTCTCTTTTGATTCACTTATCATGTCTTGCTCTCTTCGAATTTGTTTTCCACTTCTCAAAGTTATGGCATTTACCCGTTCCTTGGGATTTATCTCTGTATTGCTGGGTAGAGCTCCTTGGTTTCTTCCAGAAATCATATTTGCCAACTAACCCACTTGAACCTCTAAATTTTGTATTGATGCACCTTGGTTTTGGACTATTGCTTCAGGTTCTTGGTTACTGCTTCTTGACTTTGAAACCTTGATTCACTAGCAGCAATGAACTTTTTTAGCAAATCCTCCAATTTTGATTTTTTCCAAGTGGTTGCTGAAATCCTAGAGGTTGCTTTACTACATTCTAATTGTTGCTTCATGACAAATTTGGATGATTTTTCCAACCAGGGTTGTAAGTGTTGAAGTAGGGATTATTTTGTTGCCTATTAAAATTACCAACAAAGTTAGCACTCTCATGTGATTGTGCAAAGGAATTACTTACCTGACATTCAACACTTGTGTATGTCTTGCTCCACACCAATCACAAGTTACATTCTGGACATGCATAGCAGAAGCATTCAATTTATCGAATTTCTTATGGACGGCTTCCACTTGAGCAGTTAAGAATTTGAGAGTGTCAACTTCATTTATTTCAGCACTTCTTTTGATTGGTGTTCGTTCAAAATTCCATTGGTAATTATTTGAAGCTATCTCCTCTATTAGCTTATAAGCTTCCTCAAGAATTTACTCATTAATGATCCACCTGAAGCTGCATCAATCATGGTACCAGCATTTGGGAATAAACCATTGTAAAAAGTTTGTACCTGCAACCATATAGGTAGACCATGGTGTGGGCACATTCTAAGTAGCTCTTTGTATCTCTCCCACGCCTCATATAATGACTCCGTGTCAAACTGCATAAAAGTAGTAATATCGTTACGCATTTTGGCAGTTTTAGAAGGAGGAAAGTACTTACTAAGAAATTTGCTTGTCATCTCTTCCCAAGTAGTAATTGAGTCCAAAGGCAAAGAGTAAAACCAATTTTTTGGTTTATCCTTCAAAGAGAAGAGAAAAGTCTCAATCTGTTTGCATCTTCTGAAACTTCATTATACTTGAATGTGTCACAAATTTTTAAAAATTTGGTCAAATGTTCATTTGGATTTTCATTCAACAATCCATTGAATTGGATTGATTGTTGAATCATTTGAATATAAGTTGGCTTGATTTCAAAGTTGTTAGCTTGTATTGCTGATTTTCTTATACATGAGGCCACATCATCCATTGAAGGTGATCCATACTCTTTCAAGGTTCTTGCAATAGCTTCTTCTACCATCTTATGAGGTTCTTTAACAACTAAAGCTCCCTTCCTTTTGTTTAAAAGGTGGAAAGTTTGATCTATCTCAAGATCAAATGGTGCAAGTTCTTTGTTTTTAGAACGAGTCATGCATTAACTTGCACACCTAAAAAAAACAAACAAAAGAAAAAAAATATCAAATTAAAACTAGAATTAATATGCTTTGATATTAATTAGAATCAATATAATCCTCAGCAATGGCGCCAAAAATTTGATGAGCTAATTCCACTTTAGCAAGTGTACTAGTCAGTTCGATCTATCTCAGGATCAAATGGTGCAAGTTCTTTGTTTTCAGAATGAGTCATGTACTAACTTGCACTCTTGAAAAAGAAAACAAACAAAAGAAAAAAAATATCAAATTAAAACTAGAATTAAAATGCTTTGATATTAATTAGAATCAATACAGTCCCAGCAACGATGCCAAAAAACTTGATGAGCTAATTCCACTCTAGCAAGTATACTAGTTAGTTCAAGTAATATAATGATGAAATAGAATATCGTCCTACAGAGACTGTATACTAATTAAGTACCAAAATTAACTAATTCTAATTTTATTTGAATGATTGAAATTAAATGGTTTGAATAAACTAAATAACTAAACTAATTAAAGAAAAACTAAATTGACTTTAAGTAACACAAAGACTTAAAATTCTAAAGTATCCGATTTTACCATAATCAACTAATATAGAATTTAGATTAATATACTTTTAAGGTATTTATTATTTATGTGACAGCAAGATTTCCTATCCTATTTGATATACTTTCTCAAGTTATACGAAACTTATCTTCACCTATTAACCCATTATATATTTATGTGAATTTAAATAGATAAAGATGTATTATATTTTATGAAATTTCCTAGTTTATGTAGAAAATTAAGTCCATTTATCATTAATGCTGCATGAATCACATTGGTCCATCTTTGGCTTTCGTTCAATTCATGGTATATATTACTAGAAGTTATTGCATAAAATCTCCTCTTGGTCTCAATTTTACTCTCCAAATCAGTTTTAATGGTGGCTAATCATTAAAAAGTATTAAGAAAAATAATATATACTCTACATAAAATAATAAACCTTGAATGTATAAAAATCATAAAACTCTATATTAAATTAATCAAGTTACATCGTAGCCTTAGATGACTAAATCAGTTCATAATTAAAGAAAAAGAAATCAACAATCTCATAATGAATATATAAGTATCCAACATCATAAAATAAAATTCAAGGACAAACAAAATCAGTTTGGGGTATAAAATTTCAAGCCTCGATCTTCTTTTGTTGTTAAATTCCTCTTAGTTGTCTCTCTTGGTCTCCTCTCCAAAAACCCCAAAACTGATTTTTGAATAGGTATTTATAGAGTTTGAGAAACCCTATTAGAAAATAAGTAGGATTTGAAACAGAATAGGAAATTTGAATTTTGGATGCTGAATGCATAATGTCGACACTCAAAGTTATGTGTTGACACAGAAAAGAAAACAGATACTATAATTCTGCACGCTTAAAATATGGTGTTGACATCCTGATTATGTATTGACACGACACCCGTGTCGGGTTTCTAGCCTCTTTTTGCATTTTCTTTAAATTGTAGATCTGATCCTTTATATTTTACACAATGAGCACTCAGATCCCAAAAATTAAGATTCATTCATTTAGGTCCCAAAGATGTGCCTTTCTTCTTGCAGCTCAGTCCCTCAACTTTTAGAAGATATTCAATTAATCTCAAAAACTTCTATTATTATGCATTCAAGTCCTTTCCTACATAAATAATGAAAATCATGTAAAATCTCATAAAATTCATCCAAAAATTAATAATATCAAGGTAAAATTTTCACATTAGTGTATATATAAATTTATTTCATCAAATAGCACAAAAACCATATTCACATTCAAATTCAACAGATGAGACAAGGGATGTTCCATTGATAACCATACTTTTACCTCATTTAAATCAGGTGATGATATCAAACAAACTCCCAAGGCTAAATTAATTATTTCTCCTAAGATCCTCCTTGTGTTACTCGTCAAGTTTTGTCACCAGGCACAAGGGTGACGCCTATTTCAAGCATTGTTGCTGTATTGCATTTCCTCTTCCTCGATGTTTACTGCAATGAGATCCAGCAAAATCGGAGTTGCAATAGGTGAGGAAGGCCTGCTGAAACTGGTGCATCCAGGCAGGTTTGTGGAGATTCATAAGAGGCCTATTGTTGCTGCAGAAGTGATGAGGAAGAACCCAAGATACTGCATTGCACGGCCATATGTTTTTGATAATCCGTGGATAGTGGTTAGACCTAAGTCAGTATTGCATCTAAGGAGAGTTTTCTTCATTGTTACTAATCACACACTCTATAAACTGTTAAAAGCCAGGGGTTACCACTGCCTCAAGCTTACTCATCAGAAAGGGAATGCTACCATCAGCAATCCAACCGTGAGAGATTCTACAGACAATACCAGGATGAGTCTCTTGTTGAGGTGATAACTAGGCATGAACACACCTATCAAGAGTTTAGAAAGAAATCACTTAGAGATTCAACGGTTGCCATCAGTTCTCCACATAAAGATTGTAATTCTATCAAAGCAGTATCTACTAGAGTAGAAGAACATAATGTCCTAGTGAATAAGTGTAGAAATGAGGCTACTAGGTTGAAATCTTGCTTGAGAAAACATGACTGTGCCCGAAGGTTGCTTTATCTCAGGGTTTCATTCTCTTTGCCAGTGCAGGATGAGGAATGACAAAGGATCAAAATGGAACCCAGAACAGAAAGTCTAGTATTTTTCACTTGTTGAGTGTTGTATAACCATGGATATTCTTGTAATGCTTTAGATTTCGGAGGTCGAACATTGTTTGATGTCTTCGGACATTGTTCAATGTTTCCCGATTTTGTCTCTGTGAAGATTGTTTAATACTAAGATATAACCCAGTCAACAATCCGCAAAGAATCAAAAGATAGAGATGAGAAAAGAATCGAGAAGGGAGGTGAGATGAGAAACAGAGTCTTAGAAGGGATGAGAAGAGAAGAGAGAAACCAAAGGAAGGAAAACTATTTTCACTTTCGATAACCAATTCTGTTACAAGAATGAGCTTTATAGCTACTCTTTGTACATACATCATATCTCATGCATCATCATCTACATACATCATCAACAACAGTCCACCTAAGCACACCCCCTGCCACATCAGCTATCTTATTTCCAGTCCTATAACAATCCCCTCCGCTAAATAACCCTTGTCCTCAAGGGTGAAATTCACAAAACCAGATTTGCACTTCTGTAACACATCCTTAGCCACTTGTCTTCTTATACTAATATCAGCCAACTGTGGACCATTTTGCATTTCTTCTTTGTATTTAAACTCTCCAATACAAATTGTATAGCTAGTAACTCTTGGAGTATTGCTCACACGTTCCACATTTCTAATAAAGTTTTGGAAGACATCCTTAACAATGTATACCACAATATATTTGCAAGCCATCTATTGAATACCAAGTTTTTGTTTTTGACCAACAGAATCATTTTTTATTTGTCAATGTACCACTTGATATCCACATATATTGGTATTTTTCTTAGAAAATTCACAACAAACATATAATTTTGCTTTTGAGTATCATCACACATTCCTTTCCAATTAACAGCTATTACAATTACTTGGTAAATCATTTTCATTTTTCTCTTCTTGAAATCCCAATGAATGCCTCTGTTCACCAATTCAGCTTGTAGACTAACACTCTTATCGACTTTCTTGCCTTGCACTTATATTTGCTCACCTTCAAGTGATGTCTTAGGGACATCAAAACCTGAGAAACAAAACTTTTCGACCTCCAATTCAATAGTTTTTGTGTGCAGCCCTAAAGTCATTTGCTCATCAACTTCATTAGACACTTTATGAACTTTCTCATTACTTATCCCACCTCCAAACTCATTCCCATACTCATTATTATTCAAAATGCTAAAATTTTCTTCACTCAAATCTTCACATTTAGCATTTAACTGAACGTCACAATATGTGCTTACCTCCTGTTGCATATCCTGGTCATTAGCGTTAGGTTCTTCATTCAATAGGAGTTTTGTCTCACAAACTCCATCTTGGATAATAGGAACATTGGAAGAAACAAAGCTATGCTTGAAGTACTTAAGGGAAATCTCTTCAAATTCAGTAGACATATAGGCAGCTGGAAGTGTTTAAAGACATTTTAAAACCACCAGATTTCTAAGATCATCTTTCAACCCATTGAGAAACAAATCCAACATGTCACTTCTTAACACGAACAAATATGTCATGTTAACCCATGAATCAAATATTTCAATGTACTCTGTTATACCCTAAATCAAGTCCCATGAGAATTACAACACATGGAGACATTTTAGAGATAATCCTATCAAAAGTAGAATAGGATAAATCCCACTAGAATAAGAATACCACAAACACCAATCAAATAAAATTGTATTCCTAGAATAACTATATTTAAGTATCTTATAAATACCTTTAGGATCAACCTAATGAGGTAGATTATTTTTCCATCATCATTCTCTCTTCATTGTAAACCCTCTCTATCAACAAAGATCTTGGTTCCACACCATTTATTCTATTTTTTACTGTTAACATTTAGCGCTCACCGTGGGGCTCGACACTTTTTAATCCACAAATACCACATGGAAAATTCAGAAAATTCATCATGACCTCGTAGAAGTATTCCAAGCTCCAGAAGCGAGGATAGAATGGGTGACTCTTCGTCATCAAGAACAAACCCAAGAAATACTATTAATAAAACAAAACCATTAGATTCAACCATGGCACCACAAATATAGAAACTTACACAAGACATGGAGGAGACGAGGCAAAGTTTAAAAGCAATTGAGCAAGCCATAGTATCCATGACAAAAACTGCTAACATGTCATCACAAGAAGTAAGGCATGAGTGCTTGTCACAAAGCGATGCTAGGACATTAGGGGGGAAGGAGCAAGATTCAACACAGGAAAACAGCAATCAAGATGAAAGTTACATACCTTCAAAACCAACAGAATTGACGATCAAAACGAGTCTACAACCATCCTCAACTTTCACTCAATACAATTTTCGAAGTCAAAATGTGATACATCGCACACATTCAAGCCAAAAAGTCCATAAGGATACATTTGCTACAACAGAACCACAAAAGGCAGAAACACAGGTTCATGATGACGATATTTACAAAGAAATTGAAGCATTGCGACAACATTTGGCAAAAATAGAAGCAGGTAGGCAGAGCTAGCTAAATACAATGGAACTCAAGACCCAGTGGAGTACGTGCAAGGATATAGAATGGTAATGACAGTATATGGAGCCTCGAATGCTCTATTATGCAAGCAATTTTCAGCAACTTTCAGGGAAGCTGTGCAAACTTGAGCTCCTCGAAAGACCAACCATCATCTCTTAACAATCAAACAAAAGACAAGAGAGCAACTAAGAGCCTACATAGCAAGATTCCATAATGAAGTAGTGCAAGAACAAATTAACAACTTATCAGATGAGTTTCATATCTTTTTACAATATTTAAATAATTATGTTCATAAATTTATCAATTATGATCGTGAAAGCACTAACAATTTTCTCATGTCTCTAAAGAAATTAAGATAACAAAATCTATATAGCTTGTTTCTGCTCTGAACCTGCGCAGGAGAAAATCTTAAGATGATATAATGCGCAGGCGATCTACTACCACAAAGGAGTACATGTTTGTAGGACTTTCAAACTTAGAGTCATAATGCACCTAATAAATAAACATGCGCTTGCAAGAGATGTATAAGCAAACATCTGCCACATGCAAGAATGTACTGGATATCAAAATCTAGTAACTGAATTATGTGACTCAAATACCTACGCAACTTTATCATGATTGGATTGATAGAAAAACAAGCACTCTGTTAAAAGGCGGAGAATACAACTACCTCCATATTTGAAGAAGCTTTGTTACAATCACATTCAACCACATCAAATGATGAATCAAATTCTGCATTTGCAAGGCAAGATAGACATCTCAAAATTCTACATGCACAAATCTTAAAAGAAAGCTGCGATCCCAGCTAAGTATATTTAATTTTTAATTTTCTAAATTTTCAACCTTAATAATCATGCAAGTTATTGTGTTTTTAAGAAAACTAACCTTTCTCTTGAGAAGCTTTTGGGAGAAGGCCACATAGGCCAAAAAGCTCCAAGCAGAGGAATTCAATTACAAGATGCATAGGTCTAACAAGAGTTATGAGACAAAAAGTCTCAAAGCAAAATCCAATGCAAGAGCAAAAGATGCGAGCAAGTTTGGATGTACATAAATATCCAAGCAAAAGTTACGCAAGCAAAAAAGCTGTGAGCAAGTTTGGGTGTACATAAATACCCAAGCAGAAGTTACACAGACAAGCAAGAAGCTGTGAGCAAGTTTGGGTGTACATAAAATACCCAAGCAAAAGTTACACAAGCAAGTAAAAGCTGTGAGTAAGTTTGGGTGTACATAAATACCCAAGCAAAAGTTACGCAAGCAAGAAGCTGTGAGCAAGTTTGGGTGTACATTAAATATCCAAGCAGAAGTTACACAGGCAAAAAGCTGTGAGCAAGTTTGGGTATACATAAAATACCCAAGCAAAAGTTACACAGGCAAGTAAAAGTTGCGAGCAAGTTTGGGTGTACATAAATACCCAAGCAAAAGTTACGCAAGTAAGAAGCTGTGAGCAAGTTTGGGTGTACATAAAATACCCAAGAAAAAGTTACATAGGTAAAAAGTTGTGAGCAAATTTGGGTGTATATAAATACCCAAGCAAAAGTTACACAAGCAAAAGCTGTGAGCAAGTTTGGGTGTACATAAATACCCAAGCAAAAATCGGCGAGCAAGTTTTGGGTGTACATAAATACCCTAACAAAAGCTATGCAAGATGCACTACAGAGGTTAATGCAAATTTTAGATCAAAACTCAAGTTAGAAAGAGAGCTTTTTAAAGCAAAATCTTTGAAGCTAGCTCATTCAATTGTTGATAAACAGAAT